CAAGGGTTCTCACCACTTACAGAGAATCAAGTCTTGGATCTCAAATTAGAAGCATTCATGGCTTGATTTAATATCATAACTTCATCTTTGTAAGTGAAAATAAAAATTCAAAACTGAAAAATAGCATACCATCAGTGCATATTTGACCCACTAGCAAAAATGTACATGGTAGACCCCACACCTGTCACTGCCAGCGGTAGGAGGAGCTGAGAGATGTGTGCAAATAAGTATCTATGCTTTCATGGGAACTATGGAAATGATAAGTCCGAAAAAAAGAGGTTTAAAGTCTTTTAATAATCTAAATTATTTTAAGATTCCTTGGATTTTATCCAAAGATAAATGGAAAAGAAACTTCAGCAGAGAATTACTAGCATTATTTTAAATAATTTCTTGATTTTTCTGGATGACATGTTGCATACTGTGCACAGGCAGTAGGTCTTGTGATGGACTGGGACAGTGATATTATGTGAAAAAAATTATTTCAGTGTTTTCAAGGCCTTGATTTTACACTATCAAAATTAATGGAAATGTCATTAGTCACTTGAACTTGAGATAGTTCTGAAATGACCATATAAATCCTGAAATTTATCAGTACATTAAATAGGTAGTTTCAGATTTTTATTTTTGCAGCGCTGTATTTTCAAAAGGTGGCAAATCTATCTTGAATTGTTAATTTCAGCTGGAAACAAAGCACAAAATTCTATAACTAAGTCATTAAAATGTTTTGCTTGATAAGCAAAAATCAGTACTCCTTAAAAGCAGGTGCTGTTAGAGATAATTTGGAAAGAAATCTGGGAAAACCCTACTTCAGAAAATTTTGTTGTGTGTGTCTACAAATATTAAGTGGCTGGAGCATGAATTGTACATTATCTCATCTTTATTATTCTTTTATTTATTATTCTTGCTATTTAACCAGTCCTTTGTGTCTTCATTTCATTTAGTGAATGAGAAAAATGTTATTCTGTTGAATCACTTCTGGCAAAGCAGTCTCAGATGGCCTTAGAAAGCAACAGATAGTTCACTGAATGCTGTAAATTCCACTGAAGGACTTAATCTAAGTTATTGTGTTCTTAAAAGGTGATAAAAAATAACTTATTTCTTAAAGATGATTCTAGCCATCAAATCATAGATTGCTAATTTGTTTTGTCTTTCTCATCAGATACGTTAAATGTCACAGTCCCTTTTCTTGGATCTCAAAGGAAGTGTCAAAAAAAAAAAAATCACAGGAAGTTTATACTATGCAATTGTTTCTTAACTTTGTAGAAAGCTTCTAATTCAGCGATGCTCAGCTTGAATTTAAACATAGTTTACCCACTAGCCAGTCCAACCCACTTTCAAGCCAGGTTTAGCATGCACTGGATGTTTAACTTTTTCGCTAATACTGTGCCTAGACTTATGTAGATGAATTCTAAATGATAAATGTTAAAATTTATAAATCAGAAGATTGCCTTGTGCACTGTTATTTCTTTTATGCCATGGACTGGCTACAATTTTTCTGTCTTTGCCCTTTCCCTCTGCTTATTAAAGTATATTCATGTACTTTTCATTACTAACAGCAGTGAAAATAGACTTAATTTCATCTCTGGGTCCCTCACAGCGTAATTTATCTGAGCAGCACTGCATGCTATCCTTCCTGATATTTGCAATTTCTTTCACAACAAAATAAAACTAAACTCCTTGTCCATTATTGCTGGATTGTATTTTACTCCTCAGTCAGGTGAAATACCTAGTCACGCTAGACATTTAGATGTAATTCAACCTTCCAATTCTTCTACTTTGTCATGGGGACATAATTAATTTTGTGGGACTATTTCTAGATCTCTCCTAAGCAAGTAAAGGCAAACTTTATGAAATGACTGTACTATCATTATGTCGGTTTGTTACACAATCAGAATGTATTAGCGACATAACTTCAGGATAATGAATTGTTAAAAAAACATTGAGTGATTTTAGAATTAATCTATCTCTATAAATGTCTATAAATGTAATAACTACTCATAATGCACAATCCTGATTGAATGTGTTTTATGCACATAGCCAGAAAAAAAAAAAAAAATCAATCACTGCAAGTGCATACATAAACTCAAACATCAATCTAAGTTCCAATTACATCTTAGTCTGAAGCTATTTCATTGAATTTCATCAGTTGTGGTATTTTCCTTTTACATATTTCTATGTTTATAGACACTAGGACTCTGCTAATCATATTGCCTACTATCTGCCTGCAGAGTTAGCTAGGCAGTTACCTTAAAACAAATACAGTCTAGTGTTCACATTTTGCTTGGGCCAAATGCAAAAAAGAGAAGAGACTTCTCTAGAGCCCTATTTCATGCAATAACTTTCCTGTCCACAGCCTGCATTCCTAAACTAACAAGAGTAGAAGAATTTATTGCTGATAGCATTAAAATCTGGTACTGATAATCAGTTGCTTGGAGTTAAAGGAAACACAGACAGATATGATGTAGCTGATTCACTGGGAACATGCAACTTGTAGGAGGAGACAGTGTTACAACCAAAATCTGGTTAGCTTCCCAGCAATCACTGGGAGAAACTGGTTTTGGCTGTAAAGGTGAGAATTCTACAGAATATGAATTTTTAGCTGGACGATCGTTTTTTTTCCCAAATGTCTAGTTCTGAGAAGTTTTCACAGGTTTATTTTAAATTTTTAACTTCTTGTAGTCATGGCTTATCTGCAAACATAAGAGTAGGAAAACCAGACTTGGGTTAGTAAGACTAGCTCAGCAACATTCATTTTGAGGGATAAGGAGATAATCCCTACTCTGTGAAGTGATAAATTAGTTGATAATTCACTGACTGGAAATTCAAAGAATCAAGAATGACCAGTAGGAAAGACTTTTGAGAAGCTAAATGCTACCATTTATACATATGGAATAGTAGCTAGTTTGTTTTTCTTTATTTAATTTCTTCTCCTTTTTTTTTTTTTTTTTTTAATGCAAGCCCAAGGGATTTTATTATAAAGAGAGGAAACCAACTGGGAAAAAACACAGTGTTTGTTTCTATGAAGTGTTATTCAGCTATTGATTACCTGACACAGATGATATAGAAAACTGGTGTGGTTTAGCCAACTTCACGGAATGCAGTTTGCTTTCATGCGTGGTCGCTGTTGTATTAATCCCACTTTGAAGCTATGTTCTAACATAGTTTTCAAGTGTTGTCTGCAAGCACTTAGGAACATCTACATTCACGATCATTGTTGGTATAGGCAGGCAGTTGTAATTTTTCCTTTCATGTTTTCTATTCTGATGAGGCCACAGATGTTATACAACTAGTGGGAACCATCTTATTGTGTGGCTACCATAATGATGGGTGATGCTTCTAACATTTCCTGTGTAGATGCAACCAAGATGAAGACAATTCAGGAATGGGGCCCTTAAAACACTCTAAAAGTTAACTAGTAAATGTTTGACTAGGACAAATGCTTGGCTGGGAGGAAAAACAATGGCCTTTCAGTAAAGTGACCTGGTCTAACATCTCTGCATAGTCAAGGGGGAGATTCTTCCACTACACCTTAAAAGGCTGGAATTCTTAATGATGGCTTCTTGTTCAAACTAGTTTTGAGCTAACTTGTATTAAAGCATTGCAAAAGCTTCAACACAGTTCTAGGTTGATGCTCAAACCAGGAGAATCTTGATGACTTTTAGTGGAATTTTCTTCCTAAAGTGAAACTCACATTTTCAACACAAAGCTATATAAGTAAAATCTCATTTATTTGGACGGTATCACAAAGTACCAGGGTTCAGACCATCTGGGACACATTGATATTTAAGGTAAACTGAAGGAAAAGCTCACAGAAATCCCAAGAAAATAAATTAGCACACCTGTGTTTCCTTAGTATCAAACACATTTGCCACCTCCTCCTTTTTCATGTTCCATCTTTCTTTCTAGACTTGACTTCTGTTATTCTCTCTTCTTTTTTTTTTCCTTTTATCTGATACCTAACAAGTGCATTATGAAAATATGTTGCTACATATATTTGCAGTCTTACTTGTGTTTCTGTCATCTTGAACAGTCTATTTTTTCTGTCTTGGCCTTGCCATCTTTCTGTCTCTTTAGATTCATTCATGGGACTCTGTAATTTTCCCTCCCTCTAATTATTGGCTAGTTTAATAGTCTTATCGCACCATACAATTACATGTTTTTCTACAATAGATACCATATACTGTTCATCTTTATTAATAGATTATTAATAGATTTCACACACTACTGTAAGATACAGATTTTATGACCCTGTTTATAGAAAAGAAAGTAGCCTGTGGCAGAACCATTTCCCATGAATATATCTATATATGAAGGAGGCACCACTAAAGCCCCCATTCCTCCAGAAGGCCTCTGAATTAACTGAAATCCTTACTAAGGAGATTATGAGGAAAAGGCCCAAAAGGGATCTCCCATGATATCAGTTCCATTCTGCTCCTGCTGCAGGCTACATTGTCATATAATATTCTTCATAAATTTAAAAACAGTTGTCTTGAAACTAGTTCTTCTTTTAGCATTCTTCTCCCATCCTCCAGTAAACCTGCTATTACAGTGATCATTTTTAAAGACAAATGTTGAGAGGTCAGATGTGTATTTTTAGCTACAAAAATAAACTGTAAAGTCATACATTTCCAGCACTTCTACCATTTCTTTTTAGTCTTGCACTTACTGCTTTGTACAGA